TTTGTTTTTTGTTTTTTTGTCTGTAATATTTTAGAAAATGAAGAGCGAAGTGGAAATTTACACGGGCATATTGTAAGCGTGAACGAGGCACATGACGAAATCAGCCGCCGTGGAGGCCTGGGCGAAATTCCAATTGAGGAGGAAATCGTAGCCGTCAATGAAGGTAAACTGCTGACCATACAGACTCTTTACAATGTAATATTTCCTAAAAAGAGCTTCCTAATATATTATGGTAAGAGTGCTGACTTACGAAAAAGAAACTGTTTACATAACAAGAGATAAAACTTGCCTTCAGTCTCTTAAACATTCAATGAAGTTTCGAAAGGTAGCCTTCGGTGATTTTTGATGAATTACTTAATGAAAGCTGTCAACCGTAATCAGGATTTAGTCAAAATTAGCACTCGGATTCTTTTATCAGCGCTTAACTCTCCATTTAATTTTCCATCTCCCCTCAGTTTCCTCTCTCGCGTTAAGGTTACAGCGCTAAAGTTCAGTTTCTAACCAGTTTACATTATTTTATATAACATGCTTTAAAATTCCAATTTAGATCCTTATAAACGTCCCGGATGTAGCGATCCACTGTTCGAGGGGGACTTGTGTCTAGATCCTGAAGACGAGGCTGTCGTAAATCACGTTATCCCCGAGACAGACTTAAAGAGAAACATCATGCGCGACAGGAAAAAGCTTTGGCCGGAAAAAACTGTGTACTATTCTGTGGACGACAATTTGAGTGAGTTTTTTTCTTTCTTTCTCCAAAGAGAATCTCGGTTATCTTGGCCTTTCCAACAAATTGAAGTAATTTAGAGTGAGTCCTTTCTGTTTACAGAGAATTTACGACCCAAAATCAACGACGCTATAAGTAAAATCAGTGGTAAGACTTGTTTAACGTTCAAAGAAGTTGGTTCGTCTTATGGAGGAGACCACATCAAGATGCACAAAGGCAACGGGTCAGGATCGTAAACAATAAGGGACTGCTCAACCTCGTTCCCAGGGCCTTTTCCCGCCCTACCCCCAACTAAGAGAAAACGTCCTGGGAACGGTATTGTGCGCACAGCTTGGGTAACGGAATATAATTTACAAGGAGTGTTCTAGGGGAGTAACCCTTTCAATACCAAGATCTGTTTAGTGATTCTCCCCTCTAGCTGTTACAGATTTACATATTACCTAGCTACGAGAATTTCGTGTTGGATCAAGAGAAAAACTTCTACCTGATAAGTTTGAGTTCCTCATGACCTGTTTGTTGGACAATGTATGCATATTATCGGGAGAAGTTACCTGTTAATCTCTTCTCGGAGTTGAAAAGATTCGTCTAATCTAAGTCAATTAAATTCACACGAGAGCTCCTTTAACTTTCCTCTAGTGATTTATCTTAAAATTAAAATTAGATTTAATTCGTTTTGTCAGGAGTGAGTTTAAAAGAAAATATCTAAATCCCGACGGAGAATCGAATCTAATAGTTCGTACTTCGCTTTCTGATAAATCATTATCAAGCTACAGAAAACTGCTAGGGTCTTCTATATAATCAATGGCACTTCTATAACACCAATGTGTCCTTTTAGGTGCTGGTCAAAGGTCGGTCGTAGAGGTGGAGGTCAACCTCTCTCCCTTGGGAGAGGGTGTGACTACGTGGGTGTTGTCATGCACGAGCTCATGCACCCTCTGGGTAAGTACAATCTCTACCGTGAGGACCCTAGTGGGTAGTAATGAGTCTAACAATCCTTTAATAGAGTGACTAGCATCTGATTTCTTCTTACGATATTACCCCTGAATCAAACAGCAAGATTATGAGAATAAAGGAATTCGAAATGATCACCAACTAAACGAGCTCTTGATTGTTAAACAAGTTCTCCTTGTCAGCACTTTAGGAAATGTATAGAGAATAGTATGGAGAATTTGTAAAGGGCTATAGTTAGATTTGATTATGGTCTAAAGGGTTAAATATCAGAAACAGGTGAACTGCTCTAAGTGTCAGGGAAAGTTTAAAAATTATGTTCTTTTGTTTTCAATTGACAGGAATTTGGCACGAACAGAGTCGAATGGATAGAGATAGATATGTGGAAATTTTGTGGCACAACATCAAAGAAGGTGACGTTGCTAATGTCGTGCACATGCGTGATTTAGTCGTTGCAATTTAAATAAACTCGTTCTCAGGTTTCCAAGAGCGAGCGAAAAGGAAAATAATCCTAAGCGCGAGGTTACTCCCACAAAAAAGTGACTGCATTTAAGTTAACAAGAATGAAAGCTGTAATTACATTTTATGGGAAAAGAGGTGACCTAAAATTAATTAGTTATTATCATTTTTTCTTGTCCTGCAGGCTATGAGAAAAACTTTGACAAGTACGACCATGGCAAGCTAGACAGTCTTAATCTGCCGTACGACTTTGATTCCATAATGCATTATGACAAGTATCTGTTTTCAGTTGATGGAAAGAAACCAACCATTATCGCCAGACGACAGATATGGAGGAAACTTGGAGGTCAACTTTGAGGAACTTTGACCAACAATGACATCAAAGAGATTAAGGCTTTATATGGGTGCCCTTAGGTAACTTACACTTAAGTGATATTCTTAAATAAACTCTTAATTTATTTCTCTCAGTTTCTGCGCGGTTTGTGATTGGTCAATATAGCAGGCCGTACGCTACTCTAAAACTTTAGGAAACTTATACGTAATATGTGCCTTTTGTCGGACGGGAAAGTATTTGGCTCAAGGTCCGTACTTCATGACCATGCGAGAGACAAATGTTTTTCCTAGCCGCTCGACCTAACTCGGTCAATAAGGAGTTTATCAGATGGCCACCACTCTATCTTTGTCTCCATGTTTTCTTGCGTTTTTTTCCTTGTTGCATCCCGTGGGGCTGTACGCAGGACCGTGTAGCGTTTTCTGGTCGTTTTTTCCTTGTTGCATCTCGTGGGGCTGTACGCAGGACCGTGTAGCGTTTTCTGGTCGTTTTTTCCTTGTTGCATCCCGTGGGGCTGTACGCAGGACCGTGTAGCGTTTTCTGGTCGTTCTTGTGTCATCTGGTAGGTCCCTTATAGAGGACTTTTTAAGATAAAAGCGCCTGGTAGGTGGGGAAGTGTACGGACCTCGAACTGGACTAGGAAAAGGCATCTGTGAAAGGACCTGAGAAAATGTCAGAAATGTTTTGAACTGATCACAATTGTCATATAGTGCTGACGATATACTCATTGCGTGCTTTTACAAATATTTTTCAGTAAGACGGTTAAAGTCCACCGCTGTAAAGCATTCACCATCAAGAAGTGAAAAAGGAAGAACTCACAAAAATTGAAATAGTTTTCTTTTTCCAGCTGCACTATAAAAGCAAATCTGTATTAAGAAGCTAATGTCGGAAAATTGTGAATAGTATTGTAGCAGTGAACGTTGTGAAATAGAAGGCAATGTGAAATAAATTCGTATTAAATGTTAAAGAAATGTTTGAGCTTCACTTTTGACGAACATATTCATTTTTCCATACAAAGTGCGTAACGACCAGTAAGACTGGGAACGAGAAAAGATATAAAGAAAATACCCTGGGAACGAGGTTGTCCTCATCCCTCGCACTTATCTTAGGTGTTCGACTTCCGGACTTCAAGTATGATTTATTGGATCGTCACACAATTGAAACATGGGACTGATGGCAGCACTCGATTAATCTTCCGATAAATTTTACCTTAAGTTTGAACAGCCTCTCCTAATGTGTAACAGAAAGACACTTTAGGCGACTTGTTTGTTTCTGAGGGAGACGCCTACTGAACAGAAGTTCTGCATAACTCTTATTTTTGTGATTAAGGGTCCTTGTAGAGTACGAGCAGTCCCTCCTTTTCGGCAAAGTCTTTCGCACGAGTTAAATAAAAAAGTCAGTCAAAATAAATCTATGGTAATGCACCACGAGGATTTTGGGAGTGGCTTTTCTTGCGCCACTCTCCCAGAGTTCCGCTTGGCGCGCTAAATTTCTTACTTTTTAAAATTCATTCCATTTATTTGCGCGACGACCTTTGCCGAAAAGCAGGGATTGCTGGCAATCTAGAGTCCCTGTATTAACCGAAAAAGAAACTGCAAGGGCCTATAATAAGGTGTGTTTACAGAAAAAGAATGACTCTTCGGATAAAACGTTTGCTTTATTGTACAAACAATATTTCGGTTTAATTTTACATACCATACCTCATAATATCTGAATTTGTTAAAAGCAGCTTTCTTGGTCTACCTCGTATGGCATGCTTTTTTTTAAAATTCATCTTACAGATCAATAAATATTGCATAACGAGTTTTTCAAAAAGTGTCGTTAAAAATTGAGTTGTTTGTTTGCTATTACAACAAATTTTAAAAAGTCAAAGAAACAATATTTTTTGTTAAAATCTTTGGCGACCGCTATAGATCGATATTGTTCAATTCAAATGATTTTCCATAATTTTTAAATCAGAATTACTGGCGTGATTTTATGTCACGCGGACTGTCACGGAGGGTGTCACGCTAAACTTCAAACCCGAGGGAATCCCTTTAAAACTCATCGTGGTACATCATCTTGGGCCCACTGAACTCTTCATGAGAGATGTTGCCGTCTTCATCAGAGTCCTCGTGATCAAAAATGTTGGCCACAACAGTCTTGTGATGTTTCCTCCATTTCTTGTCATGTACCGGCATGCCATGCGCAGCAGCTTGTGCTTTCATGTACTCAGACACCTCTTTCTTGGACAGTTTCTTGTCACCATTGGTGTCAATGTGTGAGAACATGTCAGCTTGAGGAGGTGGTTGTCGAATATCAAACATTTCTAGTTCGTAAGTGAGAGTCGTGTTTCCTGAAGAAAAAATTTGAGTAATTGGCCTTTTTCAACCAAGTAATGGTGGATAATCTTAGCAAATAAAACCATCGGCTAATGATGTCATCCAATTGTGGACCGATTTATCCCTTCCCCTGGCTATGTAATCCTTTCCAAAAGAGAACAGTCTGGGAACGAGATACTTGATTTTGCGCTTAGCCTCTATAGCAAACCGAGGCCATATCAGAAACTCTTGATTTAAAATTGCTGTTTACTCAATTGAATGAGTTTTATTTTCATTCAAGACCATTTTGCTTCGACTTCTTTTGAATACGAGGCTAAAGTTGCAAACATTCTGGCCTGGAAGCGAAATAGCCTTTGATTTTTTCTGCAAATAACACGCGTAGATGTCACGACATTGCAAACCTTCTTTGACTTATTTGCTTTTCTGTGAAATTCATTTTGTGTCCTTTCTGCTTTCGACTTCAATGCAGTTCAGATCCTGGCAGTCTCTTGAGGGCCAGTAAAAGGCTCGATTTACTTTCTCTTTACAGTTAAAAAAAAAACACTGTTTTGTCTACATGCCCCATTAATCATTTACTTAACAGGTAATAACTGACCAGTGAAAAGACGCTTCGTGTTTTAAACTCTTTTCATGAATAATTTGTTTTTAAAGAAAAAACAAAAGCCCTCCAAAATGTTGGTAATTAAGCGAAAGGATGAATAGTTTTAAATCACTAAATTTCCCTACCTTACACAAATACCGTTATTGGAAAGCTATGATAAAAATTGTTAGGATTAAATTTGAGCAACGATTTCATGTAGCTGGGTGTTATATTAGACAGGCTGTAGATTGTTTCAATGACGTATGCAAAGCGCGAAGTAACAAAGCCAGCTAAAAATGATAAGAGTGAAATTATGTGTTTATCTGATAAACAAAACAAACTCTCCACAGAATTGTCTTGAGGAAATTAGTTTACATCAACAAATTATACTAAAAAGTTATAACAAATCATGCAAAGAGACGTTTTCCAGGACTAATAAAGGGATAAAATATTTTCTATCTCACCTGGAATCGCCCCAGCTCCTTTCTTTCCATAACCAAGCGAGGGTGGAATAACAATTTTACGCTTCTGTCCCCTGCACATGTTTAACACTCCTTGTTCAAAGCCCTTGATCACAGTTCCTGTTCCAAGCATGAACTCAAATGGCATGTACCCCTTGCTTGGCTCGATTGTTGTGTCAAATAGTGTACCATCATCCAGCCAGCCTGAGTAATGAATCACAACAAGATCGCCAGATTTGGATTTGTTTTTGCAGTCCTCTGGAGTAAAGAGATCGTGAACTTCGATTTTGGCGTTCGGATCCACTTCTTCTTCTTCATCTTCATCTTCATGCTCTTCTTCGTCTTCTTCGTCTTCGTCTTCATGTTCTTCATCCTCGTGCTCTTCCTCCTCGTCAGTGGTTTCGTCGTGTCCTTCATTCTTCTTATTCCCTCCATGGACTTGATCACTGGCACCTTCTTTCTTCTCCGCTGCCAATCCACCCGACGCTTTTTTCTCCTTTGCTGTCTCATCGTTCACATCTTGAACCACCTCAACTTTCGCATCATCTTCTTCCTCTTTGGCTCTCTTTTCCATCATCAACTTAACATCTGGTTCACCAGATTTTTTATCCGAGTTTTGCTCATTTGTTGCAAGGCAAACAGCCAAAACGCACAAAAATAACGTAACGACGAGAGCTCTGTCCATGGCTGTCGGCAAAGTTACGCTAACGAACAAAAGCGAGCTCGCAGTGAATATCAACCTGCTATTTACTGATAACTGCTAGACGGCTGACGTGACAGGTGGTATTTTCAGGACTACAGGTGTATCGAGCCCAATGACTTTAGCAGTTTGATTACCACAGCGGACCAAAACATGAACATTAGACAAAACATATTTTTCGAAATGTTCTTTCTGATGCACCATAGTTCCTCTTGCGAGTTAGTGGAGGGGAACTTGATTCAAAGGTTTTTTTCTTGCGCAAATTTCGTGAAGCTTTCATTCTTGTTTTCTCTGCAGGTGTCGGAAGCAAATTGAAGATTAATCATAGCTTGCTTCGATAAATTTTTAACCCGACTCAGTCATATAGAAAATCAAACTTTTAATGATCTTATCGCAATGGGTTTTATTCCTCCTTGCATATGCCACCGACTATTCACATATTCAAATATTGAAAAGCTCCTTCCGTTGGTCAAAGATTAGTAGAAATTTTTCAAGTTTATTTTTCGTTGTCCACGTGCTATTTCTGTGAATGGTTTGGCTCAGAAACCACCTTTTTTCAGAAAATAATAAAATGACTGACAGTATAATTGCACCTATTTAATTCGACACTCTTGTACAAGTTAATTTTATTATTTCACAAATCGATAGTTTTCGCCCATACCTGTTACTCATTACGTCATTTTAATCCCTTCAACGACTGGAAGTGTAAAAAAGTACGGGAAGTGAACAAATGGGTCAAAAAAAAAAACATTGAAAATGAACCCAAAACATGTTATAATTTGGTCACAGTGCGATAGAAAACGAACGTACAAGAATAGATCACCCTATAAGGAAAGATGACATTTACAGAAAAGTTATTTTAATTTATGAATCAAATATTTCACCAATATTCGATTCTGCAAACGAAAATACTTTTTACAAGCTATTGACGTCATGTAGCTCATCTTGATCGGTCTACAGAACATTCTAAGCATCCTTGTGTTTAATGGAACAAGTTACCCACATACACACATCTAATTGTTTCGCGTTCCTGTGATTTCTCTCGGTAGGTTGTTCAAAGTTTCTCAATAAACGACTGTCTCACCACAAAATATTTAACTCCTTCAGAGTTGATAAAAAAAAGAAAAAAAAAACACTCATAGCGAGTGCAGTTTTTTTTTTCAAGTCACATGTTCCCAAGAGACACAACTTGCTGGAGATGCCGAACTTTTTCGACCAAAGTAACCACTGCCACGATAACCATTCGACGAATCCGATTCACTTCCTTTTCAATGAAATGAAGAATTGTCTTTTTTCAGTTCTGTCAAACTTGTTCACAAAGCTGTTTTGTGATATTTTCAGTAAAATCACTGAATACATCAACTGGTCCACTCATTGAAGTCCAGAGGGTAGCTTGGTCCTCTTTCGTATGAAATAACAAGTTCTCTGAAGAATTTACCTACAAATATTAGAAAAAAAAAATAGTGTAGCTTACAATTGAGTGTCGACAGTCATCTGGAGTTGAATTGGTTTCTTTTAACGACGCGCTGTGATTAGTTAAGAAAATTCAAGTCACCCTTACACCAATCAGATGCGAAACATCAACCAATCACCACTTGGTCGCTCGTGTTTTCCCGCTTCGTGTTTTCCCGCCCGTTTCTACCTTGACCTCTCATTGGCTCTTTCAATACTTTCTTTTGTTTTGATTGGCAGTTATGTTCACTTAAGTCTTGCTTTACGACTTTCAATGTCATATGTGTCACGGCCGAACGGATAGTTCAAGTAGGGCTGTAAAAGAACAGCATGTCTCTTTTACAGCTCGGTGTATGGTGAGCTGGAGTGCCGAACGGCAAAAACTAAAAGAAAGGAGGAAACAGAAAGGGCGCTGGTCACACGAAAAAAGCCTCATTGACTGAGTTACAACAAATGAATAAGGGGATTAGTTTTCTACAGGGACTGTTGCGCTGCGTCGGTGGGGGTATTACAAGATAATTTCGGGCTTTATGAACTGAATTAACAATGTGATTCGTCAGAGAGAATGAAGAAGGGCCTACGCTTGACATGTCAGCTTTAAAAAAATCTTCACGGTGGCCAATGTACATTACCAACTTACTTAATTAAGGGAAATCGCCTCGAGTTAGGTCAAACCGAACGGGAAAACATTTCGGCTCCAAGCCATATCGTTTCACAAAGCGCTTTTAAAGGGTTAGACATGAGATGAAGAACAAGCGCATTACCTTTGGTAGCAATTCTGTGCGAGGCGAGTGTCGATAGTACTGCTGAAGCATTTATCCTTACTTCGGAATCCGTAAAACTGAGCTGCAAAGAAGTACAATGAAATTAAAAAACAAGCTGTGTCGTAATCGATGTTTCATTCCACGACAACAATTATTTTACCATTCCTACTCCAATATTAACGACTCCTTCTTTGTCGCATTTGTATGGATGTCCTTTTTTGTATTTATCGATCGCAGCCGCAATATCATCTGATGCAGTGCCTGAAATCAAAATAGATAATGTCAGTGAAACAAGTCTAAGAATACTTTCCACTGGACTTTCACAAAAAACTTGTACTGGAATTAATTTCAGTTGACCTGCAGCTGAAAATCAAGTAAAGCATGATCCTCGTAGGTGAGTTGAAGTTTTTTGAAATTGCTCAAAAGAACCTCGAAAAAGTTCAGGATTCGATAGGTTACTAATTCGTCTCTCCAGATACCAGTCGCGCGCTATTATCAACTGAGCTACGAAACCACATACTGGGAATGTGGCAAGTTTTGGAGGGTTTTTCTTTCCGCAAAGAAATTTGATAACAACTTGTACTGCGGTAAATTTCATTTCATCTGCAGATGAAAATTAGCAAAGGAAAGAAATCACCCTGACAGGTATACAAAAATTTAAGCAATTACAGAAAAGATGCAATAGCTAGAATTGCAGCACAAGAAAATAGTACTTCTCAGCGATACACTCACCCACAATGTAGATATTTGTGTTACCCTGCGAGCAGAGCCTTTTCTTCTTTTCTTCTTTTTAACCCTCCAAGGGAAAAGGCCCTGCAGACATCCTGTTGTTGCTTTGAAATGTCGAAAGCCCAAAACTCCAAGCTAGTCAAGCCGGTTTTGCCTCCAAGTCAAACCGGTTTTGGTGCGCACGCCTTTGTTTTTCATGTACACAGATGACCAAATCTGCGCCCACAATAGTTCAAGGGGGCCTGGAAAAGCAACCGCTGCGCATTTTCAAACGAGCAACAACAGGACGTTGGCAGAGCCTTTTTCCCTTTTCGATTCGAGGACGGGTTAAAAAGGCTCTGTTCGCTGGGTATATTTGTGTAATTGCATGTATGCCATTCTTCGGATATCTTTCAAATGCTTTCAAGTTATCTATATTTTTCATTCTAAACATAATCCCTTCCAACTACATTTTTAAAATTTATGTGCATGAATTTTTGTAACTTTTTGGTTTGCATACCTCTTCGAGTTGTGGGCATCTTTTCTTTCAGAATTTTTTGCAAGGGTTTCATTTTGTTCAAAAATTCCAGCGTGCATAAACATTGATCAAAATCTGTCACCTTTCCATCTGCAACCTTTAGTAAAACAAACAAAGGAAAACAGAAGAAAACAAATGAGAGTGAAACACAGTGGTTCTTTTGTTTTTTAGCCCTCTACGTTTCCATTTCGTCACTGACAAGGAGAATTTGTTTGATGATCAGGAGTTACTTAAATCGGTGATCATTTCCGTTATTCTCGTGACCTTCTGCATTTGAATGAAGGAAGATGCTGTAATGAGAAATTAAAAGGTAAAAACTGATGGAAAGAAAAATATGATTTCCATTACTCTATTATAGCGTGGCTCGCGCGCGTGGGGCTCGCGCGCGTGGGGCACAGCTCCATACCCATGGAATATGGTCAACCTCTTTTCGTTTGGTTGTCACGTGACTGACCGCGCGTAGTGCGTACGTGCCTTCAGATTGCACGGGTAGGGTAGGGGAGACTATCAAAACGAAGGGAGGGGTGATTCAGACGAGTCTTGGCAAATGCACATCTTTTATGTTATCGTTAATATTACGAACTTGAGAGCTCCACTTTTAGGCTTGGCTAAATCTATATATTATGTATTTTGCAAATTGAGCTTGGCCATAGATAGAGTAGAAACCCTCCGGGTGTTTGGCCCAAAACTTCCCAGAAAGTTTGGAACTAGGGGCAGGAACCACTGCAACCAAGTCAAACTATCCATTTTTAGAAGGACTATATCTCGTAGAAGTCTCCATTAGGAGAAAAACAACCATAAATCCTTTGTCACTGAAGCAATACCTGTTGAATAAGCTCCTCTTCTCCAACAAAATTTCCACCAGCTCTTTTCGCTGCCTCGGCAGCTTCACCCTGTAAAACAAAAACACCAGCCAATTAACAACAATGAAGCATATTAATCAAATTTATACACATATCATGAAATGTGAGCATTAGCTCTCCCTACTCTTATTAAGCCTTTAATTCCCAGAAGTGATTAACATGTTACTTGTCCTTATAATATCTACACATTATCCAGCAATCAAGTTATGAGAATACTCAAACTCATCAGGTAGAAGTTGTTATCTTGATATAACACCAAATTCTCTTAACTTATTTACAAGGAAATGTGTATTAGCCATTACAGAGAATTAAAAATCAGATATTGGGAGTTAGAGAATTAACAGCATTATTTTAAAGTTAAATCTCAATTATTCTGTTTAACCCTTGCTCTCGAGATCTTATAAGTAATTCTACTCACTCTCTCTCATATGATTCTTATAAATTTAGTTTGGAGAATTTGGTGTTTGAACAACTAACAACTAACCACTCCCAATTAGCTCAATTGGTTAGATGATTGTTGTGTGGGAGGTCGAGGGTTCGAGCCAAGGCCGCACCAACACTCAAGGTCTTAAAATAACTGAGGAGAATGTGCTACCTTTCTATAACATCAAGAAATGGATAGACATTCTAGTCTTCTTGGATAAGGACTAATAAACTGTAGGTCCCGTCTCCTGCATCTATTACTTAGATAATTTGATTAGGCAGGGGACGTTAAAGAACCCACATCACAACATTACCGTGATGTAGTTTGGCTTGTTTACTGGGAATTGGGGGAAGGGGGCATCTGTAAAAAAATTGCCTTTGTTGATTGTAAACTGCCACTGGTAGTCTGATAAAGTCCCCCGCACAGCATTGTAAAGTGCCTTGAACATAGGATAAGAGTGCTATAGAAATAAATATATCTTATTAGACATTTTGTTGTGTAGTATCACTAAGTATTTTTACGAGTTGTGCTGTATTTTGATGAGCCCATAGGGTGAGTCAAAATACAAATAATGAGTAAAAATACTCAGCGATACTACACAACAAAA